TGTAAAACACAAAACAGATGGGTTGATTGAAAGATACAAAATAAGACTAGTGGCTACCGGGTATACTCAGATTTATGGAATGACTATCAAGAAACCTTTGCACCTGTCGGAAAAATGAACACAATTAGAATATTACTATTTTGTACTACTAATCTTGATATTAATTTATTTCAATTTGATGGAAAAAATATCTTCCTCCATGGGGACTTAGAGGAAGAGGTATACATGAAAATTACACCTGCATTCAAAGATGAAAAAACATAAGGGAAGGTCTGCAGTTAAAGAAGATCTTGTATGGTTTAAAACAGTTTTCAAGAGCATGATTTGAAAGGTTTAGAAGAGTTATGATCTCTTTCGGATATCAATAAAGTAATGTTGATCATACTCTGTTCATCAAACATTGTAAGGGTAATATCACTATTTTTATTATTTATATAAACGATATTGTAGTGACTGGAGATGACATAAAGAAGATGACTTGACTAAAGAGACTTCTTACTCGATAATTTAAAATTAAGGATATAAAAAAATTGTAGCATTTTTTAAGAATTGAAGTTGTCAGATCTAATAAAAAAATCTTTATTTCTCAAATAAAGTATATTCTATACTTATTAGAAGATACTAGAATGATGGGTTGCAAGTCAGCAGAATCCCCTATTAAAAGTAATCACAAACTACAAGTTGGCAGTGGTGTTGAATAGAAATAAGGAATGCCAATCGTTGATAATTTTGTCATCATCTAATTGTTTTCAAATGGGTCCATTCAATCATGTAAAATCTCACAATGTGATAAAACAATCAATTAAAAAAGATCCTCTAATTCCAATTAAAAATTCGTTGGGCCCTGTAGGAACTATTCAAATTGCAAATTTTTATTCAATTTACCATTTAATAACTCATAATTAGATCTCGATCAATCAATATAAATTGATATGAAATCTGATTCAAATCCAAAATAGCATCTATGAGTACATAAGAAATGTATTGAATCGATTCTTTTTAATGAATAGATCTGATCGCAACTCCGAATATGGAATTCAAATGGATCAAATAGGAACATCAATTGACATGGGAAAATATCAGAGATTAGTTAGAAGATTCATTTATCTCTCACATACCAGACCAAATATAACTTATGCAGTTAGTCTGGTTAGTCAATACATGCATGATTCTCATGAGACTCATTTACATACCGTCTTTCGAATATTATGATATCTGAAATTTGCATCAGGAAAATGTTTACTCTTCTCAAAAAATAACCACCTTAAGATTTCTCATTTACAGATGCCGATTGGGCTAGATCTTCAGATGATAGAAGGTCAACTACTAATTACTGTACATTTGTTGGTGGCAATTTGGTTACATGGAAAAATAAGAAGCAGAGTGTAGTTGTTTGTTCTAGTGCTGAAGCAGAATATAAAACAATGATTCAAGGAGTATATGAACTATTATGGTTGTATAAACTAATTAATGAATTAAAACTGTTTAAAGAAGGGAGTCTATCATTGTTTTATGACAATAAAACAGCCATTAATATTGCCCAAAATCTATTTCAACATGAACGGACGAAACATATTGAAATTGACCGTCACTTTATAAAAGAAAAAGTAGGCAGATGGCTCTTTATGTTTATATCATGAATCTTCTACTAATCAAGTAAGCATATATCTTCGTTAAAGGACTTTGTAACAAAATTTTTTAAAACTTGATATGCAAGTTGGGCATGTGTGATATTTTCGCACCAACTTGAGGGAGAGTGTGGACATGAATATTCTGTTACCTAAATAATTGTGATATTTTTTCCTATATAGCTCTCACTATTAGTTTTTTGTAATTATTTAGAATCCTTATTATAAGAGAAAATTTCTTATTTGTACTTAAAAATTCTTGTATATATATCAGTTATTTGTAACACCAAAAATATAGTGAACATAGAGTAAATATGTTGTTCCTAAATTTCTACAGGTACTCATCTCAAAAGGGGAATAAATATTACCATTCCTCCACCCAAAAATTCTATATGTATGCTGATGTTACATTTGTTAATAGAATCT